GCCCAATCCTCTCACTGGTCACAACATCACATCTTTGTGCAAAGCCTTGGGGGCCCACAGCCTTGCACCTTTACGCACATGGCTTCCCTCACATAGGCTCATGATGGATCACAACAGAGAAGTGCCACCCTAGAGGGAGGCACATCCGTATGCACATGGTCCTACCCCCTCAAAGGCATCATTGTACACACAATCGCAGCCTCACACAAGCAGCACACGCTCTCACACTCACACATATGACTCCTGCTCTCAGTCAGACACAGGAAGACAGATATGCAGACTCTCCAGCCTGGCCCTTGGCTCCAAGTGTATTCGGTGGCCTTTCCACATCACAGGAGGTGACAGCAGCAGGGGGCAGGTGTAGCCTGTCACTGGAGTGTCCAAGGAGGGAGTTATTGGTCACACTTAGGGGTTTGAGGACCTGGGGAGCACCTTACCTTCTGTGCAGAGGCAACATCCCCCTTCCCCTGGCCCTCACCCCTGGGACAGGAGGCAGCTGGGCTGTTATCTTCCTCTCTAGGGCCCAATTTGATGGGGGAGAGGGTGGTTGGTGCTGCTTACAACTCGTGACATTTAAGAGACCAATGCATGGTGAGGCAGTTGCTCCTCAAGTCTTGTGAAGTCGAGAGAGAGTGTCAGACTGACTCCTTGTGAAGTCTAGAGTGAGTGTCAGGCTTAACCCTAGTCAGTGGTTCCTGACCTTTTTTTGGCCATGCCCCACCTAAGCATCTCTAAAATCCTAATGCTCCCCCCCACCCCCCTGACATATGATTCTTATTATTCAGAAAGTGAACTATTCACATAGAGGAAGCCTAAAAGGCCATTCACTTGGTCTAAAACAAGCTTCCAAAGAACATGGCATCCATGAAAGAGAAAAATAAAAGAACGAAAGGGCAGTTGAAGTACTGAGGAGGAAATCACCAAGAAATTGTTAAAAAATAATATGAAGTGATATGAAAAATTAGCAAATAAAGTTTCAAAACATAATAGAGAACTGAAATGCATAAATATGTCACAACGTATATTTGTATACTGTATATGAGGCCCCTAGAACCATAAGAAATGCAAAAAATTCACTGTTAATAACACATTCTCGAATTGCGCCCCTTAAAAATCAAATTGCTCCCCCTGTGGGGCATGTGCCCCATGTTGGGAACCACTGCCCTAAGTAGAGGGACTGGAGCCCAGGGTCTATAGCAGTAGCTTTTGGGGCCAGCCCTCCTGTCCCTCAGCTTTTGCTGACTTTTAGGAAGTATAGGAATGTGGGAGGGATTGTGCCTCTGGTGACGGTGGCAATATGTATGACTGTGTGTGTGTGTGTGTGTGTGTGTGTGTGTGTGAGACTGTGACTGTGTCTGTGACTGTGACTGTGTCTGTGACTGTTACTGTGTCTGTGACTGTGACTGTGTGTGTGACTGTGTGTGTGTGTGTGAGACTGTCACTGTGTCTGACTGTGACTGTGTGTGACTGTGACTGTGTGTGTGTGACTGTTACTGTGTCTGTGACTGACTGTGTGTGACTGTGTGTGTGTGTGTGTGTGTGTGACTGTCACTGTGTCTGTGACTGTGACTGTGACTGTGTGTGTGTGACTGTTACTGTGTCTGTGACTGACTGTGTGTGACTGTGTGTGTGTGTGTGTGTGTGTGACTGTCACTGTGTCTGTGACTGTGACTGTGACTGTGTGTGTGTGACTGTTACTGTGTCTGTGACTGACTGTGTGTGACTGTGTGTGTGTGTGTGTGTGTGTGACTGTCACTGTGTCTGTGACTGTGACTGTGACTGTGTGTGTGTGACTGTTACTGTGTCTGTGACTGTGTGTGTGACTGTGTCTGTGACTGTGTGTGACTGTGTGTGTGTGTGTGTGTGTGTGACTGTCACTGTGTCTGTGACTGTCACTGTGTGTGACTGTGCCTGTTTGTAAAATTGTATTCTTGGTGTAGAGAGAGTGATCATGTCACTACAACCAGATCTATCCACGAGCTTGAGCAAGTGTCCACGTGTGCAGCTGTGTCTGTGTGGGTGCCTGTCCCTATGACAGTATTTCTCTGTGCATGAGTATTTCTGACAGGGGACTGGGTCTGTGTTGGGGGGCGTGTTTCTGTGTGTGCACTGTGGCATAAAGGAATGTGCCTGTGTGTAGCATTGTGAGTGGGAACGGCTTTGCCTGACACAGTGTCAGAACAAGCATGAAGGCTGATTTTGAACATATGAACTTCCTTTTTTTCTTTATTGATTAAGGTATTACATATGTGTCCTTATCCCCCCATTGGCCTCCCATACCGCCCCCCACACTCATGCCCTCACCCCCTGGTGTCTGTGTCCATTGGTTAGGCCTATATGCATGCATACAAGTCCTTTGGTTGCTCTCTTCCCCTTACCCCCATCCTCCCCTACCTTCCCTCTGAGGTTTGACGGTCTGATCGATGCTTCTCTGTCTCTGGATCTGTTTTTGTTCATCAGTTTATGTTGTTCATTATAGTCCACAAATGAGTGAGATCATGTGATATTTATCATTCTCCGACTGGCTTATTTCGCTTAACATAATGCTCTCCAGTTCCATCCATGCTGTTGCAAATGGTAAGAAAAATGGAACTGCCAGTAATCCCACTTCTAGGAATATATCCCAAGAAACTAGAAACACCAATCAGAAAGGATATATGCACCCCTATGTTCATAGCAGCACAGTTTACCATAGCTAAGATTTGGAAACAGCCTAAGTGCCCATCAGATGAGTAGATTAAAAAACTGTGGTACATCTACACAATGGAATACTACATTGCAGTAAAAAAGAAGGAATTCTTACCATATGAACTTTCCATGGTTCCCTATTGCCTCCTGAATAGAGTCCAAAATCCACTACTTGATATCCAACCCATGTGCTGTCCTCCTGTTCCCAGATCCTCCATCCTCAAACTTCCTTCCACTTCTTTCCCTCTCAAGCCAGTTAAGTGGGTTTCCCTAGTCTGCTGCGCGAGCCGAGCTCATCTGCCCTCCATGCCCTTGTGTGTGTGGTCCTTCATCCATGGAATGCCTCTTCCCTAAAGCCCACCCACACACGCTACAGGGACAAGTACCCCAAATCAGACTCTCATCTTCCCCACCCAAACTGCCTTTGTCTTTACTGCCTGTCTTCGTAAGGGGTGTTCAAAGAGGTTTAAATGGGAAAACCTTATCAGAATTAGCCTCATCTCAGTTACCATCTGGAGAACTGAACAGGGGACCAGGCAGGAGCTGACCTCTGGCTCTGGCCATGCTCCACGTCCCCTTGGAAAAGCCTGCCGTTAACTCCCAGGGTCCATCCTGTCCCGCATGGAAGGGCTTCTCAGGCAGAATGCAGGGCCTTGGGCCCATTTGTATGTAACTGACTCCGAAACACAATCTGTCAAAATTGTGAACTCGGGGATGAAAGGCGCAAGAGCAGTGGGTCTGAAAGGTCCAGTGTGGCCTCAGGCTTGGGCACTTGGTTATCTTTGCCCAGGAAGCCGGTGTTGTGGCATTCCCTCTCCCAACCCCACCTCTGCCTCGGGGTGTTGTCATCCTCACACGTGCAGTTTACCCTACCTGAGCACATGCGCATGGAAGCATGCTCATAATGCAAACTGAAACCCACTGGGAACCAACTCCACCCTAAGCTTGAGGAAACATGAACCATTATCCATAATTTTACATAATTCTTGAGTTAAGGCTCCAAACATGTCAATTTGACACTTAAAATGCTCTTTGTATGCCCAACTCTCATCTAGTTCTGAACTAGGGTGACCATCACAATAACTAGACTCTGATTTAAACTTATCACAAACATTATCCACATGCCAACTTAACTTAAGCCTAATGGAACTAACATGAACTAAACTCTAGCTGAAATTTAATCTAGCAATAAAACTAAAACCTGAACTCCAACCTTAATTAGTCCTGCACTCTAACACTAACCCTAAAATATTTCTAATAGGAGCTCAAGTTTATCCAAACGGTGACTCCTAAATGTACCTCAAACCTACTATGAATGAAAATCAACCCAAATCCCAACATTTTCACAATTTCAGCCCAATCCTAAATTTTCCCAATTGCTTTTAAATTCTAAACCTAACCCTGGCTCCACTCTAACCCTAACCCTAGTCATAGCCATCACCTCAACCCTAAATCCTAACCCTATTCTCACTACGCCCATGATTCTGATCCTGTCCTGACCTCTGCATTAGGCCTGAGCTTATCTAACCTGGGCCAAATCCTAAACCAACTGTTGGGATTTTAGGAAGGAGCTTGTGTGTGTTCGGGTGCTGTTCAGCCATTTCCCTGAGAGATGCAAGGCAGGCTATCGGGGAGGGATGTCTGCCTCATCGGAGTCAGTCCCATTCTTTGGCAGGTGGGTTCTGGAGATGTTTTCTTGGGGTCAGAGAGTCAGAGAGAGAGAGAGCAGGAGAGACTCACTGGTCACGAAGAACCTTAAAAGGATGAGACTCTAGACCAGCCGTGGGCAAACTACGGCCTGCGGGCCGGATCTGGCCCATTTGGCTGTTCTATATTGAAATAAAAAAAAGACCGTACCCTTTTATGTAATGATGTTTACTTTGAATTTATATTAGTTCACACAAACACTCCATCCATGCTTTTGTTCTGGCCCTCCGGTCCAGTTTAAGAACCCATTGTGGCCCTCGAGTCAAAAAGTTTGCCCACCCCTGCTCTAGACACACCTGCTTCCAACCCAGCTCTTCCCTGGCATTTCTTGGAACCAGACACAAGTACAGTGGCAAACCTGTTACTGCACCTGGCCACATGGGGAGCTTTTGAACACCGAGGAACGCGAGGCAGCTCAGTGGCAGCATTAACACGATGTTGGTCCTGGCTCTGGGGGTAGCCCTGGGTCACCCCCAGGTTCCTGCCTCCCTTCTGTAAGCTTCCTTTTCTCCTCCTTTTCAGTCCCTCAAATAAGAATAAGGGACACTCAGGCCAGAGGAACATCTGCCTTTACTCACAGTGACAGGGGCGAGAAAGTGTCCTCCTCATCTGGTCACAGTCCGTCCTACACAGCCCCCTCGGGCCTGTCCCTGGGGACCCCGCCGCGGGTAGCAGAATCGGGTCCAGGTCCGTCCGAGGGCCTCCTTGACCTCCTTGTTGCGGAGGCTGTAGATGAGCGGGTTGAGAGCTGGGATGACGAGGGTGTAGAACACAGATGCCATCTTGTCGGTGTCCAGGGCGTAGCTGGAGCTGGGGCGCAGGTACATGAACGTGAGCGTCCCGTACAGCATGGCCACGGCCGCGAGGTGGGAGCCGCAGGTGGAG